TCTTTTACTCACTCTTGGTTTGAAGTTCATTGTCAGCAACCAGAACAGCTACCCCTGCTTTTGTCTGTGTTCCTGTCACATGGAGTATTGTTTTCCATCCTTTGATGCTCAGTCTGTGAATTTTTTTATTTAAATGTGTTTCTTGTATATAGGATATTGTTGGATTGTTTCTTGATCTGCTCTGCCAGTCTGCTTCTTTTGATTGGTGAATTGAGACCTTTTACACTGATGGCTATAATTGATATATATTGGGTTATCTTTGTCATATTATTTTCTTATTGTAGGATCCCTACTTGTTCCCTCTGTTTAATTACTTGCTTTTCTCATTGAATTAAGAGAAGGTAGCTACATATCTATCCTAACTGTTTTGTATATACAGATACAAAATTGTCCTTCATTTGTATCTCCTTTTTTACTTTAGTTTTGTCAGAGATGGGTATTCCATTGCCATATTTAAATATTGTAGGTGCATGAATTCAGCAAAATAATCCAATATAGTCTAGTAGTTCATAGTAGTAATGGGTTATCCATAGGACTGGCAATGTCAGAAGCTGTTGACTTGAGCCTTTTACAGCTCAGCATATTAATGTGGCTTTACTTTTTATACCTCATTTTTATACTTTTCTGCTGGATGATTAAGAACAAGATAAAGCAAGACCTATATAACAAGAAATGTAACTTCTGTATCTGACAAGGTCAGTCAAATCCCCTCAGGATTTACCCTGAGATGCTGTATCACAGTTTGTAGATCCTTTGTCAGTGTCAGCCATGTAGATGAGTCACGGCCATTGCTTGACCAATTTGCTCTACATCATCGATCACTTTCCTTTGTGGGCCCATAATCTCCTTGATCAGAAAAATTTGGGACATCACTGAGTTACAGGATGTTACAGTACAGGTTCTCTGATGTCCTGAGTCCTCACTGACCTTGAAAGGCTAGAGCCAAAATGTTGGCTGTCCTTGTAGCCCTTCTTTTTCTCTAATGTTTGGTCTACAAACTTAAGTTGTTAACCCTCCATGAGAGAAGCTTAATGATATTACTACCCTATAACATAGGCAGTTGAGCTTAACTTCACTATCTGTCTGAATATCAAACATCTTAGACATAACATGGAAAAGGTATTTTCTATCAAGTATTGATATGTTAAACTATAATGTATCTATTGATGGGTCTTTGCTCATACAGCAGTCTACCAGGCCCTTGTGGCTGCGATTTAGCAGGCCTGGGAATCCTAGCCCCCATGATGACAAGCTGCTCCTATACTGTCTTCCATTACCTCTCTCTGAGTTAACCAAGAAACTTCCTTGTTTGATTTTCATGCACCAACCCTCCCCCAGTCAGTGCCTGTTGCATCATGGTACAGCCCAGATAAACTGTGCCCTTAGCCTAATTGTATACAAGCTCTAACCTATGTCACCACCTCGTTGGTCTCAGGCTTCTCTTTTGGCCACCTTCCCATGTCCAGCAATAAAGGGTTTCTTGGCTTTCTCTAGTTTCCCTTTCATACCAGAGGAAGGAGCCTTAACAGTTATTATCTATTACCTATCTATTATCCTCCTAGAAAGACGTACCTAATAATACACAAATACGCAAATAAATTTTTCTTAGTATTGCTTTTGTTTAATTAGAAATATATGATCTACTTATCAAATATAAAAATATGTTTACAAAGAGTGTCATTCTTCACTCTATCTGCCTCTTACCAAAAGAGAGAAATCTAAATTATGCAAATAAGTAGTACAAATTTCTAAAGGTAACTCTAAATCTGTTAAAATATTAAAGAAGCTTGTCATTGCTTGAACTGAATAAGAAAATGAAGTCGTGGAAAGGCCCTTGGAAACTGCCTCCTGCCATGAGAGTCAGACATCCAGGAGCTTCTGTCACAGGAGGATGTGATGTCCCAGCCTTAACACAGCCGAATAGAACTCTCGATTTCTTTCCCAAACCTGCTTTTCACCTATTACTTCTTATCTCAGTTAGAGAGATCCAGATATTTCAGTTGAGTTCTTTCCTGTCCTCTAGCTCCATTTCTGCTAGTCCATCTGCTTTCTCCAGGCTCCATGTCACATTCTCCTTGTCCCACATTTGATCTTCAGCTGATTAAGCCTTCAGTTTTATATGTATCATGAATTCCTTTGCTTCTCTTTTCTCTAAGCTACCATTATTTATTCTGAAGTTTGTAGATCCTTTGTCAGTGTCAGCCATGTGGATGAGTCACGACCATTGCTTGACCAATTTGCTCTCTGTGAAAGCCTGAGAGAATGTTTTCTCTCCATGTGACTCTCCTTAGACACACTCTACATTGTTGATCACTTTCCTCTGTGAGCCCATAATCTCCTTGATCAGAAAATTTGGGACACTACCGAGGTACATGACGTTACAGTACAAGTTCTCATATGTTCTGAGTCTTAATTGACCTTGGAAGGCTAGAGGCAAAATATTGGCTGTCCTTGTAGCCCTTCTTTTTCTCTAACTTTTGGTCTGAAAATTTAAGTTGTTAACCCTCCACAAGAGAAGCTTAATGATAGTATTATCCTGTAATATAGGCAGTTGAGCTTAACCTCACTATCTGTCTGAACATGAAACATCTTAGACTTAGTAATGATTTTGGAACAGAATCATACACTTAAATTAGGCCTTAAAATCAGAAACATAATTTTTGAAACATTTACTATAATATTTATGGCTGGGAAGCTAGCTAAGTGGTCTAAGTGACTGCCTGGCAAGCGTAAGGTCCTGAGTTCAGTCCCAGGTACTGCATGTTGTGTCAGCCCTGGAACCCCAGGCACACTGTAGCAGCACCAGGCATGGTGGTACACGCCTATAATCCCAATGCTGGGGAGGCTGAGACAAGAGGATTACTATGAGTCTGAACTGCACAGTAAGACCCTGTATCCAAAGAATAAAAAGCAAAATTTTAAAAAATACAAAAATATTTAAAGTAAAGTGAGTTTCAACAATGGAGAAATACAACTTTGCCATCAATAATAAGTAAAATAACAAAAAGTAAGACCAAAGTAAAAGAGGCAAAATGCATTTTGTAAAGGGACAAGGGAGGCAGTGGCTTAGTATCCTTAGACAGTACTCATTTCCTGCCATTATAGAAATTTGCCCAATTTTTTGCTTGTTGTGTTTTGAGACAGAGTCTTCCCATAGAGCCCAGGTTAACACTGAGCATGCTGTGTAGCCCAGGTGGCTTCAAACTCTTTGGTATCTCCTTAGCTCATCTTCAAAGCAAGCCCATGTTAAGTTTGAATGTCAGTTTCAAGGGTGACATAATTTTATCTGTAAAAGTGTAAAAAGAAAAAAAGAATGAAAACCTTATTTTCTTATAGGAAATAAAAGTAAAATCAAGCACAGGCTATTACTTTCATTGTTTTTTTGTTTAGCACAGTCACAATGGTATATGAACTAATTTTAAATTCTTGAAATATATGACCCCAACAGCCTAAAGCAAAACCTCCACATCTTGGTTTCTGAAGCCCAGAGGGACAGGACAGCAGCTGAAAATCTTGGTAGGTCTTTCAGGCAGCTTTATTTATTTATTTATTTGGCGGAACCAGGGATTGATCTCAGGCCCCTTGCGCTTGCCAGGCAGCTTCAGCCCTCCTTTGCCTCAGCCACACCCAAGTTGTGTGTGAGGTGCAGAATCGCAGCATAACCAGACCTGGCCCTTGCAAGCCACCTGCTGTGCAAAGCAGGGCAGTGTGCAGGGAACAGAGCGCACCGCCTGCCTTCTCCCCCGCAGGACTCCGACAAGACCTGGACACAAGTCTGGATGTTGCTTCTAGTACTCTCCCATGCCCTCAGGCCTAGCGCACGGAAAGTTGTGGCTCCGCGGTTCTTCAATCAAGCCACCAATCGCAATGTGCAGTGAGCCTCAGCAACTTCGTCCTGACTGTGCTGGCTCAGTAGGGGGAAGCAGAGATCAAGGGAGCAAAAGCCTCAGGTTGCTCGGGAAGGGGAGAGTAGTCAAGAAGGGGCTGGGGAGATGGCTCAGTAGAATAAGCATTCGCCTGGCAAGCCCAAGGGCCTGAGTTCAATCCCCGGTTCCAGAGTAGTCAAGAAGCTTGTGTTTGGTTGTCATGGTCCTGTCCCAGGTGACTTTCTGGATGGTCTCACTCAGGACCTTCACTGGACAAGTCTGCTGACCTACAAACCCCATGTGAGTCTCACACAGTAGGTGGCAGGTGCTCTGAGTGAGGACTGCATGCACCTGACGGGGCGCAGAGCTGGTACCTCCCATGGACAGAGGCAGTGTTGCAAACCTGTGTGCCTGCTCCTGACAAGGGGGAGAATAGCAAAATATTACCAAAGGTACCCAAATTTGTTTCTCTTTTTGTATTTGACATCACAGATAATAGTACTAAGAAGCTGGGAGCTGGAACTAATAGAAGTTCACTTAAAAATGATAAAGGAATTATAGTCTCTACAATAAATTTTTGTACCAGTATGACAGCTGCCAAAGCCAAAGAGATGATTCTTAAGAAGCTAATAAGAAAAGCTAAAGACACTTTGGGAGCACCTAAGAATAGCAAGGTAAACACCTACCTTCCCTGTTAAGTAAGCTTCCTGCTGGTCAACTTAACAGATACTAATAAAAACAAAATGGTATATAGCATACACTCCTGAGCAGCACCAGTTGCTGACTGAGAGCTGGGAAGGCCAGAGCTGCTGAATAACTGGGCAACCATTAACAAGCAAGAGAAATTTTGGTCAATTTGTGACACAAAAGACAGGAAACCAAGGGGCCGGGGAGATGGCTCAGTGGAATAAGCGCTTCCCTGGCAAGTGTGAGGGCCTGAGTTCAATCCCCAGTTCTACAAAAAAGAAAGAAAGAAAGAAAGAAAGAAAGAAAGAAAGAAAGAAAGAAAGAAAGAAAGAGACAGGAAACTGAATTTCTTACTAAAAGGCGATATTAACAGTTTCAAATCAGATAATTAGAAAATTCAATGCAAAGAGCTATGTGTAATTTTTTAACTAGTCATTTGTTTTACAAAGACAACCTAAAAGGGCTGAGACACAAGTCACAGTCAGGGTACAACAAGGCCTGATGTTTTCAGAGACAGAAAGTAACAGGTTTAAAACTGAACACGTGTCTGAATTATCCCCTGGTTGCTGATGATGACAGCATTTAGTCTAGTTCCAGATTATAATCTTATTCCCAAACCATACATGCCACATATGAGATAAATCTATACAGTGGTGCCTTGCCAGTAAGAGGCATTCAAAAAACACATTCCTAATAAATAACAGGCACATTCCTTTATAACAGCCACAAATAGTTTATTGACAGCAAATACATTTCTCTCATCAGATTATAGGTCCATTGAGAGTGAATAGAGTTCCTGTTATTTTGAAAACCTATTCTTTTCTAAAATCATGTCTGCAAAATAGATTTTTGGGTTTTGTTTTGTTGTTATTGTTTGTTTGTTTGTTTGTTTTCCAGGACTGAAGGTTGAAGCCAGGATCTTCACACTGAGCTACTCCCTTTAGCCTTTTTAATTATTTTATTTTATTTTATTTTATTTTGAAACAATGTTTCACTAAGTCTCTAAGTTGCCCAGGCTGGTATCAAACTTGTGATCCTCCTGCTTCTGCCTCCCAGAGTGCTGAGATTCCAAGTGTGCACCACCACACTTGATAGAAAAATAGATGTTAATGCCTGTAATTTTGTTCTTGTAACAAAGCATAACTGATATTCCTACTTCAGAATTTCAAAAAAGGCTGTTTTACTTAGTATATTGAATGTGCTTGTCTCCCTTCAGGCTGTAATATTCATTGACGACTTGAACTTACCTGTGCCAGATGCTAGTGGAGCCCAACCACCGCTGGAGCTGGTCAGGCAGCTGCTGGACATGGGAGGGGTCTATGACACACAAAAAAACGTGTGGAAGGTACAAAACCGACCCACACTGCTCCCCCTAAGGTGGTTACCTGACTGCAAATCAAATATCTATAACACTGTTGAGTGAGTTCATCGAGAAGCTTAGAAAGCTTAGGACATAGTAAAGCCTGAGGCCCTATATTAACTGTACCTATGTCTTCGCAATTTAAAACAGGTTCATGGGAGAGAAACTCTACTTTTGTAAGTTCAAATCTTAGTAAACACTCCAGACCTGCCCTAAAGGTTTTGCGTCTGAGTCAGTACACACTGCTGCGACCTGTATCAATAGTGAGATTCTCAGTGCATCTGCAGTCAGGGCACATGAGAAGCCAGCGAAGCGGCCACCTTGGGCTGGACAGGTAGCTCAGAGGGCCAAGCACTTGCTGAGGCGAGCGCAAGGACTGGGGTTCCATACCCAGTACTGCATGCCATACCAGTACTGAGCCAGCGACAGAGTCTGGGCGTGGTGGTGCACGCCTATAATCCCAGCACTGGGGAGGCTGAAAACAGGAGGATCACTGTGAGTCCGAGCTGTGCAGTGAGACCCTGTACCAAACACACGAAAGAAAGAAAGAAAGAAAGAAAGAAAGAAAGAAAGAAAGAAAGAGAAAGAAAGAAAGAAAGAAAGAAAGAAAGAAAGAAAGAAAGAAAGAAAGAAAGATGACCTCCCCAGTGCACCTGCAATTGTCTCAGAAAACTACTTTCTTTATTTTTAAGAACATAGAGCAAAGGTGTTCGAAGCATTGCAAAATCAAAAAATTCCCAGCCAGGTATTCTCGTGCACTCTTTCTGAAGAACTGCCACTCATGTCTTTCATAATGGCTGCACCGGTGCCCATTCCCCCCAGCAGGGTTTGAGTGTCCCGTCTCCATGGTTCTGTAGCAGTGCTGATGTCTTGTCCTTTGGTGTTTGGTTTGCTTAAGGTTCCTGGGACAGGAGGGGAGCCTGGCTCGTGCACACATGCTGGAACACGTCCTCTCTGAGTGAGCGGCACTGGCGCTCTGTCCCCACAGTTCGGATTTGCATTTCCCTCATAATAGCTAATGCTGAGCACTTTTCCATGGTCTGTTAGGGAAATTCGTATGTTTTCTTTCATGCAAATTTCTTGCTCATTTTTAATTGGGTTACTTGTGGGTTTGGTTTTAGTAAATTTTGATTTGGGCTTTGCTGTTGAGAAGTTTGAGTTCCTTGTATTAGGTTTTTCAGAGACAGAAAAGATAAAAGAGGCCTTTATTGACTCTGAAGACAGAGAAAATCCAAGGGAGATGGGGTATCCTCTGACCTGAGGCAATGGAAGGCTGAGATTTTATGGAGTTTTGCTTGGGGCAGAGTTTGAGAGGCAGTTTAGTGACATCTAAGGAGCTGACTGGGGTCTCCCTTGTGATGCAGGAAAGGTGAGAGGAAATTGTATCTGGGATTGGGGTGGGGGTGCAGGAGGACAGTCTCTGAGAAGATAAACTGTTGTTTTGGGGATTCAGTCATGTTAGATGACCACCATAATAATTCAGCAAATTGTACTGGGGCTAGAACCTATCACATTACATATTTCTAATGTTAACCACTTATTGTGTAAATACTTTTCTCTCCCACTCTGTTGGTTGTCTTTTTGCTTTGTTGACTATTTTTGCAGTCCAGGAGTTTTTCCATATGTTACTTTCTGCCATGTTGCTTGTCCTTTTGAATATTACCCCCCAAAATCCCTGCCCAGACCAACATCATAAAGCATTTCTCCTATGTTTTCTTCTAAACATTTCATTGTATTGAGTAATGGCTTTTTTAAAAAAGAAAATGGGCTTTTTCTTCACGATATTCAGACAACCTGTTATAAGCAGCATGTCTTAAAGTCCCATTTTAGGACAGGTTACTTCTAAGAACATGGATTTCTGTGAGCACTGCAACCTTGTCTTGCAGTACACTGTAACCTCATCCTATTTGCCCAAATGTTTTTCAGTCTTTTGCTCATTTGGGGTAGAGAGGCAGACCAGCTGCTACTCCCCCACGTGCCTTCAGGCACTCTCCCTCTTCACTCTCCTGCAGGGCGTCCAGGATGTCTCTGTGGTGGCAGCCTCATCCTGTGTCTCTCCAATTGGCCGACACGATGTCAACCCACGTCTCCTCAAGCATTTCTCTGTGTTGGTACTGCCTCAACCTCCTCAAAGTGCCTTATATTCTATTTTTGAGGTAATATAGGTACTTCAGTTTCAGCTGAAAAAAATTCTAATTCCATAGTATATGTGAACATGTAGAACCACTAATATTGAAGAACATTCTCCAATGAGATAGATTTTGTATTACTCTATATTTTCTAGCCTATTGTTATCATTTGTCTCTTAATATAAAAGTATAATGCAGTATATATAAGAGAAGACACATAGTGCATATTTAGTGCATGTTTAAAATGTGTATCGCAAAACTTCATTGTCAGAGCTTCTAATCCAGTAGATTCTTGATGGGACTCAAGGGTCTGCCTGTTATTAACATATGCTCTGCAATCTTTGTTCTTTTCCATTTTCTTATTAAATAAAACCACTGAGGGAGCTACTGTGGCAGCAGAGACTTACACACATGTGCACTGCTCCAGAACAGACTGCTCTGCAGGTGCTATGCTATGGACCGCCTAACTCAGAATCACCAAGGGCTTTTGGAAAAATGGATTTTAAAATTTACCTTTGCATTTTATAATCTAAAGAAAGAAACCCCATATTAGTTTTGAGAGCTATAATAATCTTTCAGATTTATGTTTCTAATCATACTAGATTTCAAGTGGAGCCATTTTCTCAAATAAGATATTTCAAAATTTTCAGATGGAAACATACATACATACAGCAGCAGCCAAGACTGCTGTCTATCACTTTACATTTTTTTCTAGCAATTTCTTCCAGGAGCAGGAACTGGGGAGAATTAACAGCATACCTGCTGCAATAGAGGCAGGGCACAAGTTGGGCCACAGCAGTGCAGAATCTGTTTCCTTGCAGAGATTAACCATAAATAGGCTATACCTGAAATCTTGTGATCTATACTGAAAGTCTTTTGAAAACTAAATTACAAAACTTCTTTTCAAAGGTTCACTTGGGATTGTATTTCTCCCTCAATAACTTTACAGCTGATGTTCAGAAATGCAAGGATCCAATAATATCTTCTTCCCTGGATATGTACTATCACATATGTAAGCGTATGTTACCAACACCCACAAAATGCCACTACATGTTTAACCTTCGAGACATGTTAAAGGTTTGTTTTTAAAATAAATTCTCCAGCTTGTTTTTAAAATTTAAATTGAGGAGATATCGTTTTACTGAGTGGGCTTTGTCTCTGTCTTTTTCTCTTCTATTTTATTGGTATTGTCAGCATTAAATTGTTAGAAGGGATAAAGTATAATTTCATGTTAATTTTGCTGTTTATTAGCAGCTTGTCCTATGAATAAGTTGAATATAATTGTCCAAGTATTCCAACCAGAAAATTTAGTGATGATACCACTAGAATATTGGCTGAGCAGGAAAAGAAATGACAGTTATAGCATAGCTCTTGAGTTTTGCTTCCTTTCTGAGGTCTAATTCGGCTCTCAGGAGATGATAGCATGTGGGCACTCACTGTAAGAAACTTGTATGAGTTTTCATAGATTTTGCCAGTAGTGTTGCTTTGGTCATTCACCCAGTTAAATTATTTTGAAAATTGTTAAAGAAAACAGTTCTTGAATTTGGCGTCTTTCTCCTCTTCCTGTGGGACTTCAGCCCTAGCTAGCACATATTTGTGCTTTGAAATGACTAATTAGGGTTTTTAACCCAAATTTAGAATACTAAATATATCAACCTAAAGAAGCACCTCTGGCCAGGTGGTGCCATGGTTTCTCCTGCTGGCAAGCTGTCCAAGATGTAGCCAAGGAGCCTCTAGCTCCCTTTCATCAAGGCAGCTTCTGTGTCAATTTTCCTTGACTTCTAGTTTGCCATCTCATCAAAACTTTAGGTTGTCCCTGACAGAAACATAGTCCTTACCTTGAGCAGTTGCTTTTATGGATCATGAACCTTCACCTCACACACCACCCTCCGGCTGTTTCGAAACAGCTTCTTCTAGGGCTTCTACAAGCTGACAAGGCTGTCATTAACTCTAAGGAAACAACTGCCCTGCTCTTCATACATGAAGCTTCCCGCGTGTTTCACGATCGCCTTGTGGAACCTTTTGAACAAAGCTTTTTCTATCAGGTGCTCTCAAAGGAACTGGAGGACTACTTCGAGGTAAGTTTACACTTCACAAGTATTTCAAATAGAATCCTTCCCCCCTCAAAAAAAGTGTTTTATGGAAATCTCCAAGAATTTCTCTAATGTTCAGTGAGAACACCTTTATCCTAACAATTTCATCTTTCACTTAAAACCTGGGAGATCAGAAGTTGGGATGATGGGGGGCAGGACTCCCTGCCTCTGTTCATGCTGTGGGTTCTTGGGATCCTCTAAGTGGCTTTTTGCCTCTTGGACCAGCAAGACTGTCTTGAGATACTTCCTGACTCCTCACCCTGTCTACCCTTTGAACATTGGCTTTTCACTGCTTGTGCTTAGGTCCAGGTCATAAGCAAAAGTATTTCCCAGGCTGGGTCACACAGGAAGGGTGTGAGTACCTGCCCAGTGAGCCCAGCCCATGACTGTCACTGCTGTCCCTGCAGAAGCGTGTTCTGCCAGGGTGACTCCTCTCCCCTGTTCCTCTGGCTTGACAGTGCACATTCTCTCGCCCTATTCGTAGGAGTCTGTGAAATAAAAAATTCAAAGGCACAACTACATTTTATAACAGTAAAAGGGATTTCTAGAAGATATACTTCATTCAGGGAGATATAGTTTTATACACATGCACATAACAGAAAGTACAACACATATGTGTATTAGTACATGTATTAGTATTAGTGCATATCTGTATATGTGTTTGAGATGCAAAAAAATCATAGATAATTAAAATTCCTCTAGGTATTCCTATCACTGTTTTCCTTTAATTCAAATTTTCTGTTCTTCAGCACAGAAATATCTTGATATAATTATCCACGTTGACCTATGACTTCTGCCATCCAGTCTCCTTCTTACATCTGCTGAAATGATGTTTCCCCTCAGCACTGAGGGTAACCTTTTCCTCTCACTCACTAGGCCCCAACTTTCTCGGCTCCTTTGGGTACACTCTTTTCCTCTCCTCCCCTAGGGACTCCTAGATGATACAGTAGCCTTCTGTCCCTTGCCCCTTTCCACTGTTGCTCTTACTGTCCTCTGGTTACAGCCTGAAAGGCAGGGGACGCGAAGATGATAGACCCAGGCACTTCCCTGGGGGCCAGGCCCCCTTCTCCATGAGACAGCTATGCACCATCAGCACAAGCTTCTGTCTTAGTTTCTTCTGTGCTACAGGAGGGGCAGTGAAGGTACCTATACCACAGCACTCTGATGGAACATCACACACCGACATGAATCAAATGTTTAGGAATGTTCCTGACAGCCAGGAAGTGCTCACTAAGTGCAAGCTGTCATAACACTGAAGAGAACTAAACCTTGTATCTGTGTTTCAATCTCACTATCATGGGTAGTAGAAAGACCTGAAATCTAGAGGCCTTGGATGGACCTCTATATCTATCTCATGTTAGAGCATTTCGTACTCAGGATATGTTAAGACACTCCAAGTTGCCAGTCAGCACACCCTTTCCACCATGAAGAGGCTGGGCCTACTGATATCCCCCTCCAGATCTGCATCCATGCCCAAAATGTGAACAACATAATTTCTTCTCCCTCTGCCTGAGCACCTGCAGGTCCTGCCTTGGGTTGGGCCTGGCTGCCATTAAAAACACAGCTTGTGCACACAGGGGAGAAGCTGAAGCACAGATAGTCCATGTTCTCCCTCATATGTGGAATGTAAAGCCACGAAATTCACAGAAGCTGAAAGTAGGTTGGGGCTGGAGGAGTAGGGAGCTGATAGTCAAAGGGTGCCAACCCCAAGACAGGAAAAATAAGATTTTTGTTTAGATCCAACAAACATAGTATAATGGTAGCACATTATACATTTCAAAAGCACTGAGAGTAAATATCACCACAGAAGATCCCTAAGTATGTGATGTGATAATATATTAATTTTATTTGTCATTGCACATTGTGTTTGTAAGTTATAATACCACTTTGTGTCCCAGAAATGTATTTAACCATGTTTAGTCAATAAACAATAAAAATAAATTTTTTAAAGTTCAGCTCATGCCTTTTCCTCCTTTCTAGCCAATACTATCCCATTTCCAAATTTAGAGCCCTGATTCATATCTTCATAGTACTATGGGATTTTCCTATCATAAAACTTACTATAATGCAATTGCCTATCTCTCCAACCTACAAGTTACTATAATTGCCTGTCCACCCTACCTACATGACTCTGAGAACAGATTCATAGAATTTTATCTTCTCCTAAATCTCCAAATTTAGTGTCCTCCCACAGCCAATATGTCTGGGATGAATGAATGCATAAGAAATGGAAAGACATGATGATCTGAAGAGAGTTTATGTCTGTCTTAGGAGAAGTGCCAACTATAATTTAGTTTTAAGAATTTATGACACCAAGGAATAGATGTAGAGGAAGTAGGAAATGACCAAGAAAATGTAATGATCTTGACCTAGCATGGTCAGTAATGTAGAGAAGAAGAACAGCTATAATGCCCCAAATAAAACACTATATTAACCAACTTTTCCTTAAGAACAGGAGGATATAAATTACTTCTGTGCAAATTTGGGTTTATTTTAATTGGTATATTTTAATTACTTGATCGTTGGGTTTTTTAAAAAAGTATATATGACATCAGAAAATAAAAAGATATAACATGTTCCAGGATAGGCAAAATCAATATTGCCAAAATGGCCATACTACCAAAGTAGATGGATGGATGGATAGATAGATAGATAGATAGATAGATAGATAGATAGATAGATAGATAGATTTAACTCAATTCCAATCAAAATACCAACAGCATTCCTCACAGAACTAGGAAGATCCTAAAATGTATGTGAAAACAGAATAGCAAAACCAATGCTGAGCATCAAAAACAAAGCAGGAGGCATCATAATCAGACTTCAAGCTATATTATAAAGCTATAGTGATATCGTAGACACAAAAGTCATGTAGATCATCAGACCAGAATAGAAGACACAGAAACAACCCCAGACATAATAAGTTATCTGACACCACATGGAGAAAATTGTCTGTAGACCCATATCTATTACCATGCACACACACACACAAACACACAAATCAAAATGAATCAAAGACCTAGACATTTAAGCTGAAACATAAAATAGGTACAATTCTTGAAGACATAGGCACAGGCAAGGGCTTTCTGAACAGAATGTCAATTGCATAAGAAATAACAGCCAGAATCAACAAATGGGATCACATACATTTTTTTTAAATTCAAAACATCAAAGGAAACAAGAGTGAAAAATCAGCCTACAAAAGGAAGAAAAGGTTTGCTAGCTACTCCTCAGACAAAGGACTACTGTCTGTAATATAGAGAGAATCCAGAAAAATTAGGCCCCCACAAATAAAGAACCCAGTCACAAAATGAGCAAGGGAAATAAACACTTCACAGAAGTACAAATGACCGGAAAATACATGAAGAAATGTTCAGCATCTCTTGCACTAAAGAAGTAGGAATGGAAACGACACTGAGATCCTCTCTTACCCAAGAAAGAATGGCCGTCATCAATAAATGAGAGGGAAAAGTGAGATATATATATATATATATATATATATATATATTAGCTAAGATAATTGTACCATTAATATTTATTAGTTCGTTGAAAGGATTCAGTTAGCGCTTATATTGTTTGATCAATTCTGCATGCCTGTATCTTGCAATTTGAGCAACTACTTTGAAGATAACAGTAGCAGTATAATAACCATTATCAATTTCCTACCATCTTGTTTTGAAATGCTGTCATCATTGAGCTTGTTAGTATCCTCCCACAGCCCATATGTCTGGGATGAATGAACACATAAGAAATGAAAAGACCTGATGATCTGAAGAGTTTTCCTCAAACACTGAAATTAGAATTTCCATTCAGCCCAACTATTCCCCTTCTAGATATCGTCCCAAAAGAGTTAAATATATTGTATTACAATGATACCTGTAGACCCATGTTTATACCAGCACAAGTCATAAAAGCTAAATCTTGGGAGTAGCCTATATGTTTATTAACAGATGAATGGATAAAGAAAAGGTGGTACTTGTATAGAATATGGAATGCTGCTCTGTCATAAGGGATAAACCTGAGTCATTGAGATATAGATTAGATATAGATATATAGATATAGATATATGCCATACCAATGTCAAGCATTGTTTTAAGCACTTTGCGTGCCCTTCGTCATGTTCATGTTCAGTCATAAGGCCTCTGATGTGGGTCTCCTTCTTATTTGACAGATGAAACAGAGCAGGGTTAGCAGCAGCATGCGCAGGGTTTTGCCCGGTGTATCTGAGGCCTGATGAGCCCTCGCTATTGCATCCTATGGCCCAAAGCTCTTCCACCAGGAATGTCCCGTGAGGCCTCAGGGCAGCAAGAACCAGGGATGCACACAGCACTGAGGGGCCAGTGGCTGCAGGCAGTGCACGCTGCTGTGAGGCACCTGTAGAACAGGAGGGTTGCTTTTCCTTTTCATGAGGAGGAGTCAACCAGTCTGCAGACTTGGGCTCGTACCTAACATTTGACTGAGGAAAGGTTCTTTACCAAGACTGTTGATGGAACTGCAAGATCTCTGCAGCTTCCACAGGTATCTCCAACACCCTGAAGCCCAGCAGCCCTCAGAGTTCTTAGGCAAAACTGTGTTTCAGTATAACGGCACTCTAAAGTGTTGTTCTGGAAAGAGGCCCGCAGGCTTCAATGCCAAAAGGACTTCATGGCTTGAAAGAGCAAAGCATCCCTGAGTGAACTCCTTGGGGTTGGGGGTTCTCTGACTCATATATGTTGATCTCAATGAGAAGCATCATCAAGCTTTTGTATTCTTATCTAACAATAGATTCAGTGGACACAGCAAAACCTCATGAATGACTCAACTGTGTTTATGGACTTCCTGGATATAAACAAGCCTCTTAGAAAAAAGATCTATCAGAACACTAATGACTATGATAAACTTGCTACTGTGCTGAGTGAATTTCAAATGAAGTTGGGGTCAAAGTCTTTGGAGGTAAAGACATACACCCTATAAAAATCTGTACAGGGCTGGTGAGATAGCTCAGCAGACTAAAGTGCCTTCTTAGGCAAGCTTAGGCAAGCGCAGGGACCGTGGTTCCATCCCAGGCACCACATGCCGTGCCAATCCAGCCCCCTGGGTGGGCTGAGCTTGCCAGAGTCTGGGCATAGTGGCACATGCCTGTAATTCCAGCACTGGGGAGGCTGAAAGCAGGAGGATCACTATGAGTCTAAGCTGCACAGTGAGACCTTTTAACAACCAAATACATTTAAAACAAATCTGTACATGTATGCATACATATAGACATATATGTTATGATATGTTAAGATGTGTGTGTGCATTAAGGTGTGTGTGTACATGAGTGTGGGCATTTGGGGGAGGAAAGAAATGATAATATACCCTCAAATTTGAAGGAAGAGCCTTAGAAATACAGTTTTTCATTATTTTATCTCACTTTTGGATTAATTTTAAAGACATAACATGCAGCTCAAGCTACAGGATGTTTAACACTACTGGAGTTAAGAAATGCACCAGAGTGTGCCCTGACATGTCACAGAGGAACAGTGATTTTCCACTGTCACCCATATTGTCCCAGGCAGAGTGGTGTTGAGGCAGGTGCCACAAGCCAGCAGCCCTCACCCTTCACTCTCCTTCACCAATGGACACCTAGTGCCACCCAGCAGATGTGGCAGAAGCACCTTTCCAAGATGCCACTGAACTAGCTGATGCTGACATCTCAGGCACCAGGCACCGACATTCTCATCCTGCCCCTGCAGTGTAACACAACAGGGCACACTGGGTTTGCTAACCGTATCATTAGTTCATTTGTCACCTTTCCTCTGCTAGATTTCTCATTCCATGGTGTTCTTCAAGGAAGCTATAGAGCACATCACAAGAGCCACAAGAGTCCTTCGGCAGTCAAGAGGTCACATGTTACTGGTAGGAATCTGAATATTTTTTTTGTTTTTGCAAAATAAAAACTAAGAAACTTCAATAAAATCTACTTTACAGTTTTATTCACCCATACTTTATGAAAAATCACAGTTCTTAAATATAAGACAAGGGGCTGGAGATTTGGCTCAGCAGTAGGATGCTTGCCTAGCAAGCTGGAAGCCCTGGGTTCAGTCCTTGGCACCAAAAACAAAAAATAAACCTCCCCTAAAATTCTAAGACAAGACCCTTGTGCTCACTAATTAAGAAAGTAGCTCAGACATAACACTATCATGTTTTTGGAAGATGCTTGATGTAAATAAAATCAGTGGATCTGGCACCACCTCTTGTGCATGCCTGCCTTCATATGACCTCCAGGCAGGTGGAACCTGACCTCAGAATAGGGTGCTAAGTAGAACAAAGTGTGCTTCTCATGGGAACAAGTGGGAGCCAGATTCTTGCAAAACTTCCAAATACTTTAAATAGAGGAAACAGTTGGTCCAGGGATATAGCTCAGTGGCACAAGAACCTGCCTTGCAAGCACAAAGTCCTAAGTTCAAGTCCCAGCACCAATTTTTTTTTTCAGAACTGGGGATTGAACTCAGGCCCTTGTGCTTGCCAGGGAAGCACTTATTCTACTGAACTATCTCCCCAACCTCCCAACACCAACAAAAAAATAAATAAATAAGTTTTTGGAAAACTAAATGAGATCCATAATACTTAGCAAATACACACATTATTTATAACTAGCTGTTACATTATTATTTACACTTACTCTTTACATTTATGAATAACTTCTTAATTGTGGTTTTTTTCTAAAAAAGATTTTTTCTTACATGTAGAAGAGCTTTATTATTCCTTCATTTATTTTTTAAATAATTTTATTGAGAAACAAATAGTTTCAAAACTGATTACTATCACAGTTTCAATAATTAATACATTGCATATTGTTGTCTTAGTGGTTATTCATTGTACAAGATGCAGACATGATATCCTGTCCACAAACACTATTAGAACAAATCTCTCTATTCAGTGAATTAAGAGAATGCAGCTGTATATCTAGCCTAACTATTCTGAACACAGAGATATAAAATGGTAGTTCATTTGTATCCCCCTCTTTAGTTTTGTCAGAGAAGGGCATTCCATTGTCACTTAAATATTGTAGTTGCGTAAATTCAGCATAATATTCCAATATAGTCCAGTAGTCCATAATAGTAGCGGGTTTTCCATAAGACTGGCAATGTCAGAAGTTGTGAACTTGAGCCTTTATTCCTTCATTTAAACAAACATGTATAATAAGGTTGATTAAAAGGAATTAGAAAATAGAATCAAAGGAAAGCCAGAAAGCAAGTCTTTCAATCACCAAAAATGTTCCTTTACTACCTTTCTCATTTGTAAATAGTGTCACCTCAGCAGCTGTCCATTAATCATTTGCATGAGTTATTGTTCTGCACTCCTTCATTTTCCACCATTTATTTGTGAATCTAAAGTGTGCCTCTTATTGCATTTTATGCTTCTTAAGTGTGAAAGCTCTAGGTTCCATCACCAGTATGAAAATATAGCAAAGCGTCAGCAGAAAGGGAAATGGGCAGCATCCCAAGGCACATGTGTGTGGGCCACGAGTGCAGGAGCGACTTGGAGCTGCAGGTCCTCCAACAGCTGCTCAGCAGCTTGCTGTGTAGGGCTTCTGCCAGACAGTCAGAGGGCGCGCTGGTGAGGAAAGCATGAGGCTCCTTGAAGACCAGTTGCCTCCTCTGGGCCCAGCCTTAGAGGCCTCGCCCCTCTGACATCACACTGGACCATGCTTCCTGCTTGTAGAGCTTATCCAAGCCGAAGAAAACACTGTGACCAAAGAGGATGCAGCTCGCTGTCTCAGGAGTGTGATTGTACCAGTTCAGAGCACAACATCAGCAAACCCCAACCATTCATGTGTAAGGAATATGATAGCCCACAGCAAGTGGGACTTATCCAAAGAATGCATGCTCAGTTTGACATGCCAAAATCCATTAACATGCACACCTAGAATCCCAACACTCGCAAGGCTGAGACAGGAGAATTGCTACAAATTCAAGACCAGCCAGGGTCTAGTGTGTTCAAGATGAGCCTGAACTACTTAGCAAGATCCTGTTTTAAAACAAATAACAACAAAAATTCATTGAATGTACCATATTATAGAAAAACCATACAAATCTTGATGGATGACCCCCAAAATTATTGGCAAAATTCAACATGTGTGATATTTTTAGGACACAGCAAGGACTAGAAGGGAACCTTGCCAACCTAATAAAAACTGCAGCTCTTTCTGTGCTTAAGAGTGAGAACTAAATGCTTTACTTCTGAGGTGGGGAGCAGAGCAAGGATGTGTGCATCCCAATTCCTGTTCAGTGGCCACACTAGGGGTTCCAGCCAACCAAGTGGAAAGTAACAGGGGTGAGGGGCATTCACAGTGGGAAAAGAGTAAACCATCTTTACCCACAGTATGCAGGATCCTGCTGCATCAGAAAATCCTCTGGACAGACAGCTCGATTAAAAATAAACTGATACCTCACAAATAGGCATGAAAATGTGCTCCATACCAGTACTCCCTGGGAACCCACAGTGAGCCTCCACTCACACCTAAGAAGCAACCAGTCCCAAGGCTGGTACCGTGATTGCCCACCAGTCGGCCAGGCAGCACAAACACTCCCTTGTCCCTGGTGGGAATACAAAAAGGCCCAGTCACTTGGGAAGACAGGTAGCTTCTTACACAGCTAGGCATAGTCTTGCCCTGTGATCCAGTGAGCACACACATCACTTCAGGCATGGAGTAGGGGGCTGACTGACATGGCTAGAGGGACCTTTTCGAAGTGATGGAAATATTCCAGAACTGCCCTGTATTCATAACTGCATGAATCTATAAGTTTACTAAAAGCACTAAGAGGGGCTGTGGAGATAGCTCAGCAATCTAAGTGCAGGCCTGGCAAACCCAAGGACTGGGTTCAATGCCCAGCACTGCATGCTGTGCTGGCCCTGCCTCCAAGCTGCAGAGTGAGACCCTGTAGCAAATACTAAAAGCATTGAGTCAGTGAGAACAGATGTTGTCTGTAAATTCTACGTCAGTAAATCCAGTAAAGCTAGTTTTAAAAAATGATACTTTGTCATCATTATCAGAGCATTTATCATGGTTCCAAAGGAATGTCTTCTTACAATCAACTATTGACAATAATACAGATTTCTAAGTTTATCTGTGCTATTTGTCCAGATCGCCACTTTCTAGTAAAATTGTTTCATATATTTCCAGAAGCTATGAAGATAGAAAATGTAAATATTGAACATAGATGAGTGCCTTATAAAACTTTGATATAATACTCAAATTATATTAAATACACCTCCCAAAAAGGTTATAAATAAAAATAGTCTCAAGTTTGTTTACTATCAAAATTTCTGGCACAAAGAAACAAAAGTATGTATTGAAAGTTTCCCCGAAAATATGTAAGAATCATATGTAGTGTTTGTTTTTTTCCTTCCAAAGATTGGAATAGATGGATGTGGAAAAGAAACTTGTGTGACGTTGGCCTCTTATTTGTCAGAACACAAACTGTACCACGTGCCTGTGTCTCATGGTTGTGCCTCTGTGGAATTCAAAGAAATCTTTAAAAAGGTGTTTATTCAAGCAGGATTAGAAGAGAACCCCACTGTTCTGGTGGTTGCTAACTTACACCAAGAACAAGTAAGTACTTTCTGTATTTATTGTTTGCTAATATTTGGTGTTCATTTAGCAAACCCCCACAAGAAATTTAATCTTTGAAAAGAGGATAAGGAGACTTCTACAAGTAACCCTACTAAGGTCAATCAATTCTTGTCCTTATCCAGTTGTAGCCCATATGGTTTCTATATTTAATTATACCATAGTTTTGAATATTACTGTCTTTTCAAAAGAGTGTTTTCTATGCCTCATTTCCATTTCAGCTGAAAGCTTGGGATAACTTCTCTAAACAGCTGGGCTGCAGTCATTCACCTTGTAGCAGTGACTGTCTTCCTCTCGTGTACCGGCAGCCTGTGCAGCACTGAGGTCCCTGCTTCTCTCCCGGCCTACCCCATCAGGGCAGGATTTTCCTTGAAGGATATGCGTTCTGTATATCTATCATTTCTTTTTTTCTTTCTTTCTTTTTTTTTGGTTGTTGTTTGGTTTTTTTGTTTTGTTTTGTTTTGTTTTGTTTTTGCAGAACCGGGGATAGAACTCAGGCCCTTGCACTTGCCAGGGAAGTGCTTATTCTACTGAGCTATCTCCCAGGCCCCTATATTTTTCCATCATTTCTTAGCTCTGTTAGTTTGCATAAATTATGCCCTTCCACAGCCAAAACATAATTAAGAATGCCACCTCAGATTGTATTTACTCCTTTGTGGAAAAACTTCAAGGGAACATAGCTCATTATTTATGTTCCAGGAATATAGTTATGAATATTGTTTTTAAACCTTCATCTTGGTTTTTTATTTCTATTACTGCTGGGCCTATCTATATAGAGTTACTTTTCCCTTTCATGTGATATTCTGAGAGGAAATCCAAGTGCCATATCTGTGTATATCACAGTATGTTGGTCAGCTTTGCTATTTTTTTTCCATAATTTTATTGAGAAACAAATAGCAACAGCTTTGCTACTGCTAGACAAAGTCTAGACACAGCCAAGGAGAAGGGGTCTAACCTAGCTCATGGCTTGAGGGGTTCAGGCCATGGCTAGCTGGCTCCCAGACAGGAGCATCATGACAGGAGGGCACAGGGGAGCCAAGGTGCTGGGAGCAGGCTGGGGAAGCTGTGCCAGAAAGGAGGAGACCAGATGTAGTCACCAGGCCACACCTCCAGACCACCAGATACCCCAGAAGTGCACTAGGCATTTCCTCACCCACTCCATGAGGTTGACATAGCAAGACCGACGCTTATGCCCCAAACCCAGGTCTTCTGCTTTCTAGTTCTCCCTTCTCCATATTTTAACAACTTCTGTGTTAAAGTAGTTGTGATTTCCACCATAGACTTTTTTCTGGGTTTCAGTAAATGTGGAAGCCCATGTCAGGAGCCCATTGCTGTCATAAAATTTCTTTCAGGAAAAAAAAATTTTTTTTTCAGAAAAACTGAAATGAGCATAATTCCTCTTCTCCCATATGAATCTGGACTCGAAGATCACTGGGCCTTCCTTCCAGGCCTTCCAGGGTCTTCTGGTCATGCTGTTGCTTTCTATGTGTAATGCTCAGTGGGCTGAATACACTTGGGCAGTTCCCAGAATGTCCTAAGTGGGCAGGAAATCAGCCCCAGGCCGTGTCCCACCTAATCTGAGATGCTGCACTCTCCTGAATGACTGGGGGGGGGGTGGTTACTGGAGAGCACTGGCTTTGTTTTTTAAGAAAACTTGGATTTACTCTCAAAAATGAAATATTTACTTTATTCTTCTAGTAAAGTTCCTGTGTCAGATTTTTCTCCTTATCTTTGCCATTGGATTAGGAACCCTATGTAGAGCTGAACCTGACTAAGTTAAAATAACTGTCCCCACCACATTATTTCTAGTTTGTCTGCTCTAAGAGAGGGGGAGAGGGAGGGAGAGGAACGGGGTGAGAGAGAAAGAAGTGGAGGAGGGAGGGGAAAGGGGGAAGGAAGAGCAAGGGCAGAGAGAGCCGCCCTATAGTCCTTACCCCTCCTGCCCAGGGACATAAGGACTTGGTAGGCTACCAGCCAAGTATATGTCCCGATGATGTCTGAATGAGTGAACAGAAGAATACGGCTTACTTTCACTCAAAAAATGTTTTCACAGATTCAATTTAAGAAGTTAGCTTTTTTAAAAAGCCTCAGTTCCCCTTAAATACTATTACTTTCTCAATTTGTTTACAATAGAATATATGAATAATTTATTCATTCCCACCTAAATGTGTGTTTGACCTAAGATATCATTTTTGGAAGATTTGAACTACATTGTCAACCTGGGGAAAATACCTCACGTGTTTGAAGACAAAGAGCTGTATTCTATTATAGTGAAGATTCGATCTTTGGCTCTACAGTCTGGTTACACAGACAGCAGAAAATCTTTGCTTTCTTTCTTCCAAAAGGTATGCTTTTGTAAGTTGACTTTATCACATTATCATGTTAAACACCAACATTTATAATTCAGTTCATGATTTTCAAACTGCATATAATTTCTTTGTTTCTTTAAATAAATTTTTAAAGCTAACACCATTCATCTCTGCACACAAACACTGTACCCCAAGTACAGGCTATTAATGACTTTTTTAAAAGGTACTTACATATATTGGCAATAAAATGGGAAATTTCCAAGATTATTTCCTACACAGAGATTCCTTCCAAGTTAATGTGATTTTCATTTCAGCTATGTTGCTAACAAGTCAGGAAAGGCAAGAAATAAGAACTTACGTCAGGGATAATAGCACACACTGCACACCTGTAATCCCAGCACTCCAGATGCTGAGGCAAGAGGATCACCAGGAGTTCAAGGCCAGCCTGGGCTACGTAGTTCAAGGCTAACCTGGACTGCATAGTGAGACCTGTGTCAGAAACAAAACAAAACAAACTCCCTTCAAATAACCCTAGAATTGACCAAAAAGTGATAGATATAAAAACAAATTGGCCAAAGAAAGTAGATAATCCTTAGAATGAAGTCATGAACTCAGCCACCAGGGTCTAAGACAAGACCTCAACTGGCCCAGTGACCTAAGCCTTTGTGCCCCTCAGACATGACAGTTGTCACAGGAGGGGGTCAGTGTGGCCAGGCCCAGCATGCTGGAGGAGGACCACAGGGCCCTCGTTTCTGGGGCCAGTTTGTGTCTATGTTAGGGTTATTTGGAAATTGAGCCTGGCTTCCCAGGTGCTTAGTATGTGTCGCAAGAAGAAGATGTAACAATAAACAAATCCAGAAAGGGGATCCACAGTTGATAGAAAGCAGATGCAGTAAGAATGGATGCTTGGATATGGTGGAAAGGCTAACAGTTGTCTTGGTAACCCTTGGCACTCCAGTGACTGGCTTCAATAGTTTACTGAATTGATGACAAGCAGTAAGGAAGGACAGAGAAGCAATCGTGTGGGGGGTGGAAGCTAAGGCACTCCAGAAGTCAAAATCAAGAATCCCAGCTAGAATGAATTCAGCCTTATAGCTGTCTTCCCCTACTCCCAAAAGTGCTTTGCTGTATCTTACAATAATGGTGAACAATAAGCTGCTCTCACTGCCGACATCAGCCACGTCCAGGCAGTTAGGTGTGGCTAAAGCAAAGAGGCACTTCACTCTTACTTTAAATGTTTCTCTATTATATGAATTTCCATACTTTCTGATCAAGGAGATTATGGGGCCACAGAGGAAAGTGATCAGTGATGTAGAGTGTGCCTAAGGAGAGTCACATAGAGAGAAAACATTCTCTCAGGCTTTCACAGAGAGCACATTGGCCAAGCAATGGCCGTGACTCATCCTCATGGCTGACACTGACAAAGGTTCTACAAAGTGCCGTACAGGGTTACAAGCTAAATCCTGAGGGGATTTGACTGATCTTGTCAGATACAAAAGTTACATTCTTGTTACATAGGTCCCATTTGTGGCACATCGCAAAAACAATAGACACCAAAACCAAAGGGACATTTTGGAACTCTTTATCACCTGAGTTCAGCAGCAACATTCTCCTCCGAAACTGACAAGAGTGAAGCCAGTCTCTCAGAGGAATAGCCAATGGTTCCAAGAGATAGGGGTCCAGGGGTTGGATCAGAGTCTAGGGAGTCCTGTTAAAGGGATCCCAGACGAGCCCCCAAATGTGGCACACCACAAAACCAATAGACACTGAAACCAAAGGAGAAATTTGGAGCGCTTTATTAGCTGAGCTCAGCGGCAACACTCTCCTCAGAAAACTGACAAGAATGCGCACCTAGCTGGAGTGACACACAGTTTTTAAAGCAGAAAACCACAAAAGCAGGGGGAGGAAGGGGGAGTTTTACAGAGTTAGTCATGACCGAGGGTTAACTCTTTGTTCTTGTAGATGAGGTCATATTTTGTAAACCCTGTAGGAACATGTCCTTATTTGGCTTAGGCATTGTTTTTGTTCCGGTAGTCAGAAGGACATCTGATGACAGTTTTACTCATTTTTTCGGCATTCTGTTTGTTCCCGTAATCGGAAGGACAGTTTAACTCATTTTGTGGAATGGTGAAAAACATTTTTTATCTTCTCTAGGAATGCTGGGAAACATTTTCTTATTTGTAGTCACATTTTGTGGTTAGGCATGGGTGGGAGTTTACAAAAGAGATCAAGGTTTTACAAAACAGAAGTTATAAAACTTGTTACAAAATGGAGTTGATTAAGCCAGCTTACAACACCACTGAGTTTATTTTCTTTATAAATTTTTAAGATCAAGAGAAGGAAATTGAAAAAGATCTTACCCTCTAGGCCTCTTTGGGCTTCAGTACTTATTTGGCAAATAGGTTACATGATGCTCGAAAGTATTACCACTTTACACAAGTGGGACTCTGGGTTAAGAGAGCACTGGCCACTGGGCTGCCTCAGTCGTGCAGCTTCACACAGCCAGGTTTCCTGAGGACATGAGGGCCAGCCAGCTGCCTTGCACACAGCAGTGTCTGCCACGGCTGCTGTGGTCCCTGAGTGGCAGAGCTTCTCCCCAGTCTCCCACTCCCTCCACTCCTCACTGTCTTTCAGCTCTAAGGCAGCTGGCCATTCTCTCTCTGGTTCCCATGGGTGTTGTAAAGGCCACCACCCTGTAAAAAGGGCCGAGTAGCCAGACCAGATGAATGAACTGTAGCACTGACCCCTTCCCAAGAGCAGCTCCCGCAGCCTCACTGCTGATGCCCTGAAGTGAGCCAGGTGGAGCAGACACTGGGACTGCAGTTTCCCTCGAAAAGCAGGCGCTCCAAGCAGCACTGACTCATCTCCACCCATGAAGGAAAGAATGGAAACACGTCTTAAGTGCTACTTCTGATGTATTTTTAAGCATAGATTACATTTTAACACTTTATATTCCCATTCCTTTTCAGAGAATAAATAAAAACTTCCATATTTTTATAATCATGAGCCCTGTGGGACCTAACCTCCGCCAGATTTGTAGAGTGTACCCTGCCATGATCAGCGCCTGCACAATGGACTGGTACCAGAAGTGGCCAGAGGAGGCACTTCTTATGGTAGCCAACTCTTTCTTAAGGGAAAAGGTGAATCCAGAGAAGAGAGAGGTAAGTCGCTGATGAGATTGAGGTCCCTGCCTGTCGATGGCACCCAGACAGCATGAGCTCCTGCTGGACGCAAACAGAAGCAGTGAGCCAAATCCAAACCAGGCCTGTTGCTTGTCTGTACTCCACCAGGTCCTTGTCTTCTGTCAGTGTCCACCCCATCTCAGAGATGCCCACAGCCCACACTGCCTGGGTTGTCAGCACACTGCCCCATGGTGAATGGCAGACTTCAAGAAGGAAAGCGGCACTGCTGTGTACAGCAGGCCTATGAGGCGCGATGGGCACCTCTGTGTGTGCTAGTGGAGGGTGCTGGCGTGCCTGCTGCACAAAACCACAAGAAAATGGGCTCAGGGTTTGGAAGCCACAAGGACAGGTCTGTCCTGTGGGTGAAACTGATCCACATGACCTGGCTGACAGAAAAAGCTGTGAAGGCCTCGGGGTTAGGGGTTGTACCCTGACTTTTGTTCAGTTCAAGATAACCAGAGTCCACAGACCAGAAAAAAAAGGGAACTGTATGTAGAGTGAATGGTGGTCAGTGAGACTTGTTGAGTTGGAGATGGGTAACAGGACATGGTTAAGAATACTCTCCAGTACCAGCAAAGGGGGGAGGCTCTGGCCCTGCCCACTGCCTCATCCCTCAGGTCCCTACATGTTTATAGCTTTATTCTACTCAGACTTCTGAGACAGTCCTGCCACTGATGACTGCTTGAATAGAGAAAGTGACAGGTGAAGGCACAGAGGGCTCCGTGCTGTGCATCCCAGAAGCCACTGTCGTTAGCTCAGGGTCACTTCTCCTGCCTCACAGCAGTCCTGCCCACTGACACTCGTGTTTGTGGAGGCAGGACAATGCCAGTCTTTCACCTAGGAACATTCTCGACAACCAGTGTCTCAGAAGCAAATTGTTATTTAAATTTATTCACAGTATTCGCTTTTCTATTTTTAATGTATATGCAGATTGCTTTCTTTTAATTCTTAAAAAAATCACTGGTCTTCAGAACTTAAAAGAAAAAATTGCCCCAACGTGTGTCCAAATCCACAAAAGCATGGAAGACTTGCACACATGCTACTTTCAAGAAACCCGAAGTCAGTACTACTTGACGCCTAGCAGCTACTTACAGTTCATGGAGACATTTGCACACCTTCTGAGGTCCCGGGAAGAGAAGATGCACAGGAAACGGTAAGACTGTGAGGCCCAGCCAGAAGCTGTGTTTCACATCAGTGCTTCTTATTTGTGGAAAGAAATGAGCCTGCATTTGCCTTTTGGTGTGGCACCTTCACAAAGGGGTGGGGTGTTTTCCTTCAGCATATCAGGGTGCTCCAGCGAGGAAGAAAGGGGTTAGGGGTTAGTCAGATGCTTGTCACTAGCAGCAACAGAGAGAACACAGTGTCCACTGTGAGGGCCCTGGAAGGAGGAGACATCCCTGGTCAGAATGCTGGGTGCAAGGTGGAGCCCAGAGCCTCCGGGGTGCTTGGTGGGGCTCACCACTGAGCCCAAGGCCCACCCCTCACTCCTAGTCAGAGCCCAGGATGCAGCGACAGCCCCCAGGGGGACAGGAATTGAGTTCACAGGAGACTTGTAGCCTCAGCTCACAAACATCCCACATTCTCTGTCCTCGAGGGACAGGTCAGCTTCGGGTAAGCCTGCCCACGCAGTGTGTGCCCAGGTGCCATGGCAGAACCACCTGTAATGATCCAGCTAAGCTTTCTTTTAAAGCAATTAGCCATCAGTTGTACCGATAATGCTGAAACCCCTGAGGAGGGTATCAGTCTATCCCACCTGGCAATATAACACATATATGCAAAATAAAGACAAATCTGCAGTCAAGGTCTGGGATGACCCAGAGTTCTCTGTGGAACAAAAGGCCTCATGTCCAAAAGCTCATGGCTTTTACTGCTATCACTCAGGGAAGTGGGCAAGGGTCGCAGCAGAGTATTAAGGAAAAGAAACTTTGCAGGTATTGGCTACATCAGGCACAGAAACCGCCAACTAGCACTGTAGTAGACAGCGTGATGTACGCAAGGCCGACGCCTTTACTGGCAGGAAGGTGTCATTCTTTCTGAGGTCCATGGCCTCAGCTGAGATGTCAGCTCACATCTTATCCCGGGAAGCTCACAGGTTCCGCTCAGGTAATCAGCACAACACCAGGACTACTCTAGCCGACTGGATCCGTCCTTTGGCCGATTAAGGGAACATCTGGTTCAACACAACTAGCTTGGCCTGCCTCGGTGGGTAGGGCTAAAGGAGAGGCAGGGACTTCACGCCCCTGTTTTATCACTACTTGTTTGTATGTCAGTGAGGCCAAGCCTGATTTTTATGGAAAAAGCACCAGCAGCCTTGACAGCAGCTTTTGCTGATGGAAGCAGGGTGTAGTTTTATTACATTTTTTTTTGTTAAGAAGGTTTTAAAAAGATCTGACAGACCAGCACTAGTTAGATTCAGGGCAGGTCAGTGTCTGAGTAGAGAAGGCCCAGGTCTCCATTCCTGGAGTCAGAGTTAAGCAGAGGCTGAAGGCAGCTGAGGGCAGCGGCCTGACTACACTGGCCAGTTCCCTGCAGACAAGAGCCAGAGTATCAGACCCTGTTCTGCTCCTCCCTCCTGGGCCCTTACCTCTACCAGGGTCACGACTGCTCCTCCCCAGCGGGCCCCATGAAGCTGCCTTGCCCTTCTGTAGTGTCCCTCCTGTCTCACCTGCATGTCCAAGATAGCACACAACCTCTACCTCACAGGCCTGTGCTGTCCTACAACCTCTCCTGCCAGGACCCTGGGAGATTCTCATCTTCTACACATGAAAGTCTATTCTGAATCCATTGCGGCTCATATCACTAGGTCCTCACCAGTGGCCCCGCCACCCAGTTTGTCTTTGCAGCTCGCAGATGCCCGTGGAGCTTCCCACAGGGAAGTGAGAACACAGGGAGCCGGGAGGTTGATGATGTGCTGTGGGCCTCTGGATGCCAGATGGCTAAGTCAGGCATCTTTCTGGGGAACCACCACATTGAGAACCCAGGTTGTCTGCCAGAAGTGTGTTCCCCTCCAAGCTAAGCCCAGCGTGTTATCTTTTCTGCTGTTCCTTAAGATCCATTTTATTTTTAATGACATCTGTTCTTTATCAAACCAAGGAAACATGATTCCTAGTTCTGTAAGAATTTTACCATAAATTTCATCTCATGCTTTTCCTTTATCGATTGATATAATTATGATTTTTCTTCTTTAATCTGTTGATAAGGTGGGCTACATGGACTGACTTTCAGTACTGAATGAGTGTTGCATCCCTGGAAGAAACCTCACTTGGCCATGATGTATATTGTCCTTATATATTTCCAAGTTACATTTTTCTAAGATTTTATTGTACCTTACACCTCCTACTACAGCTTGGCACGCCAAATCTAAACTATCTAAAATCCAAAATTTCATGATATTCAAAACCTTTCAGGTTTTGTAGCATTTCAGATTTCGGATTTTCAGAGCAGGGATGCTCAGCCAGAAAAGTCTATGCAAAACTCAAGATTTCCCAGAACAGTGAGCCCGAGACAGCTGTGGTCCTGTGCTTGCTTTTCCTTCAGGGATCGTTTCTGCTTGGGTCTCTCCACAATGCTGGAAGCAACCCAACTGGTTAGAGACATGCAAGAAGAGCTCTTGATTCTCACCCCTCAGATAGAACAAAAGACAAAGGTAAGAACTGTGTTTTGAAACCTCTTTTGGAGTCATCGTCCAAAGTGAAACCAAACATGGTAGAAAGCATAGGCTCCGAAGCCTGACAAAGCCAGAACCACGCCAGCGTGCAGCCTCGAAGACCACTTCACTTCTTTAGTCTCCCTTTTCTTAGCCATAAGATGAGGCAGAAGTAAAAATAATAACAGGAAAATAATGGTTACAATTTAATGGTTAACTGTGATCACAGGTATGTAACTAACATGTGGAAAGATTCCCCACTGAACTTGGCCAGGCTGTGGTAACTTGCTGTCTGTCAGGGATCGTTCTTTATGGGCCTGGTCTGAAACGACAGCCATTGTAGTCACCTTAGTTTCTCTATCAAGCAAATATATTTGATGAATTTTATTGTAACCAAGAGAGATATTTTAATTTCTTCTTTAGAAAGAGATCATGTTTCAGAGTTCATTCTAAAATGGTTTGGTTCACTAGGAAGTAGAAGACTTGATGGAAAAATTACAGAAAAATTCACAAGTGGTGGAGCAAGTTCAGATGCTTGTTAAACAAGATGAAGAAATCATGGCTCAAGAAGTGAGAATAGTAGAAGATTATGCTCAGGTAAAATGAATATATATATATATATATATCAATGAGAATCATTTGAGATTTGAAGTTATTCCCTAACCCCAAATGTAAAGTTGAAGAAGTAGTATTCAGCCACAGGTCACGTCCTTTTACCCCAGCAAATATGTAATGTGCCCCCCCAGTCAGAGTCTGTGAAATGAAAATGCTCACAATCCAAGACCTCGGAGAGAGGAGTGCCATCATCTTCCATGTCTTTAGTCAAGCAACTCATCAATTAAAATATGTATATATATTTAATTGAAAACTAAGAGCTCTGGTAAATTCTATTTTATACAGCCCCATCATCAAAAGGCAGGGTAGATTTAGAATTGTATGTGTTTATCAAGAACATGTGTGTAAAGCGCCTTTTTAGGCAGTCGCAGGGATGGGGGTTCAATCGCTGGCATGCTGTGCCAGCCCCACTCCCAGGATGTGCTGAGATGGCACTGAGACAGGGCGTGGTGGCGCACACCCATAACCCCAGCACTTGGGAGGCTGAAAACAGGAGGATCACGATGAGTCCCATCTGTGTAGTGAGACTTGTAGGCCCTGTGCTAAAAGTACATTAAAAGAAGAACATTTGTGAAGGAGATTGCCAGCTTCTACTAAGTGGTGACCACCCCCACCCGTAGTTTTATCACTCATGAATACAGACTTCCTGCCGACCAGCCTCTGGGCCCATTCAGTGAAAACCTGTCCCCTGCCCCACCCACACACTTCTGAGACATGCTCATGTTCCAGTGGGATGGCAGCCCTTCCTAGACCAGGTGACTTACAATAGGAAAGTGAGTGTCAGCAATGAAAATATAAACGTATAATCACAATGCTCAACTCAGCTCTTCAGCCAGATCCACAAAGTATCCACAGACACAGCTGCACCACTGAGCAGCCGGACAAAGAGTGAGGAAAGGGGAAAGAGAAACTAGTTCCGCGCTCCCTGCACCCCCCAGAGGCCCCCCCACACCCCTGCGACACCCCCACACACACCCTGCTCATGCACCTGCACCCCCTTGGCAGCTCCTGCCAGACTTTGGGAAGGGTCCATACCTCGAGGGCCAGCTCGTGCCTTGTTGGCTTCACAGGGAGCCACCTCCTGCCCAGGAGCAAGCAGTACAAGACTTCAGAACTGGGAAGCAAATTCCTACTCATGCGGGCTTGTACCCGAGTTATACAGATGTGTAACTGCAGGCATTGTAACAGTGTCTAGTCATATTCCCAGCTTCAACACATAAAAAAAAGAAAATGTACAGCTACATTCATGTGTACTTGGAGGCTTCTATTTTTATTGCAGAAAGCTACCAATGAGCTACAGAGTGTGCTGCCTGCTGTAGACAAAGCAATCAAGGCTCTGAATGCACTAGATAAAGCCGACGTTGCTGAATTAAGGTAATTTGCCTACATTTCTTTTCATTTTGAGGGGGAGGGGAGAGGTACCAGGGATTGAACTCAGGACCTTGGTGCTAAGGTATATCCCCAATCCTTCTACATCTCTTTTGAGTTAGAAAATCTCAGAATAAAGATAAACGCATGGTAAAAGTTCCCAAGTCTGTCTTCCAATTTTAGATTACTTCTTTTTTTAACCTTTATTATTACTTTAAAATTTCTGATAGGTGCGGTATTTACTGCACATTATCAGTTATAAGCCACCAATGCTAAGAAATCCATATTTTTTGTACCCTTATCTAGAGAAGAAAAAATACTCCAGTTACACTAAGATGACCACTGTAAGGGACTGAATCTCAACCTCCCAGAGGTATAAGTTCAGAACTGACAAAATGCACTGTTGCCTGAGCAGCCAGGTCCTGAGTATGCAGGACTGGCTCTGGGGTCACTTCACCCTAACCCTAACCCTAAGCCTAACCCTATCCCTAACCCTAACCCTAACCCTAACCCTAACCCTAACCCTGAGCAGCCAGGTCTGAGTATGCAGGACTGGCTCC